TGTGTGCTCTTTCCAGTTTCTTTTTGTAGGCACTTAGAGCTATGAGTTTTCCTCTTAGCACTGCCTTCATGGAGTCCCACAAGTTTTGGTATGATGTGTCCTCATTTTCATTGAATTCTAAAAAGTCTTTAATTTCTTTCTTTATTTCTTCCTTGAGCAAGTCATCATTGAGTAGAGAGTTGTTCAGTTTCCATGTGCACGTGGGTTTTCCATTGGTTTTGTCATTATTAAAGACCAGTCTTAGTCCGTGGTGATCTGATAAGATGCAAGGGATTATTTCAATCTTTTTGTATCTGTAGAGGCCTGCTTTGTGACCAATTAGATGGTCTATTTTGGAGAAGGTACCATGAGGTGCTGAGAAAAAGCTATATTCTTTTGTTTTAGGATGAAATGTTCTATAGATGTCTGTTAAGTCCATTTGGTTCATAACTTCTGTTAATGTCAAAGTGTCTCGGTTTAGTTTCTGTTTCCATGATCTGTCCATTGCTGAGAGTGGGGTGTTGAAATCCCCCACTATTATTGTATGAGGTGTAATGTGTGTTTTGAGCTTTAGTAAAGTTTCTTTTATGTATGTAGGTGCCCTTGCATTTGGAGCATAGATGTTCAGAATTGAGAGTTCACCTTGGTAGATTTTTCCTTTGATGAGTATGAAGTGTCCTTCCTTATCTTTTTTGATTAATTTTGGATGAAAGTCGATTTTATTTGATATTAGAATGGCTACTCCAGCTTGTTTCTTGGGACCATTGGCTTGGAAAATTGTTTTCCACCCTTTTATTCTGAGGTAGTGTCTGTCTTTGTCACTGAGGTGCGTTTCTTGTATGCAGCAAAATTCTGGGTCTTGTTTGTGTATCCAGTCTGATAGTCTGCGTCTTTTTATTGGGGAATTGAGACCATTGATGTTAAGAGATATTAAGGAAAAATGATTGTGGCTTCCTGTTATTTTTGTTATTAGAGATAAAGTTACGTTTGTATAGTTATCTTCTTTTGGGGTTGTTGGAAGATTACTTCCTTGCTTTTTCTAGGTTGTAGTTTCCCTACTTGTGTTGGCGTTTTCCATCAATTATCCTTTGAAGTGCTGGGTTTGTGGGAAGATATTGTGGAAATTTGGTTTTGTCATGGAATATCTTGGTTTCACCATCTATAGTGATTGAGAGTTTTGCTGGGTATAGTAATCTGGGCTGGCAATTGTGTTCTCTTAGGGTCTGTATGATGTCAGTCCAGACTCTTCTGGCTTTTATAGTCTCTGGTGAGAAGTCTGGTGTAATTCTTATAGGTCTGCCTTTGTATGTTACTTGACCTTTTTCCCTTACTGCTTTTAGTATTTTTTCTTTGTTTTGTGTATCTGATGTTTTGATTATTATGTGACGGGAGGTATTTCTTTTCTGGTCTATTCTATTTGGTGTTCTTTAGGCTTCTTGTATGTTTATGGGCATCTTGTTCTTTAGGTTAGGGAAGTTCTCCTCAATAATTTTGTTGAAGATATTTACTGTCCCTTTAAGTTGGGACTCTTCATTCTCATCTATACCTATTATCCTTAGGTTTGGCCTTCTCATTGTGTCCTGGATTTCCTGGATGTTTTGAGTTAGGAGTTTTTTGCATTTTGCATTTTCTTTGACAACTGTGTCAATATTTTCTACCATATCTTCTGCATTTGAGATTCTCTCTTCTATCTCTTGTATTCGGTTGGTGATGCTTGCGTCTATGACTCCTGATCTCTTTCTTTTTTTTTTTTAAACTTTATTTATTTATTTATTATTATAAGTACACTGTAGCTGTCTTCAGACACCCCACAAGTAGGCATCAGATCTCATTGCAGATGGTTGTGAGCCACCATGTGGTTGCTGGGATTTGAACTCATGACCTCTGGAAGAGCAGTCAGTGCTCTTAACCACTGAGCCATCTCACCAGCCCTCCTGATCTCTTTCTTAAGTTTTCTATTCCATGGTTGTCTCCCTTTGAGCTTTCTTTATTGTTTCTATTTCCATTTTCAGATCCTGAATGTTTTTGTTTAATTCCTTCTTTGTGTTTTCTTGCATTTCCTTAAGGGATTTCTGTGATTCCTCTTTAAGGGCTTCTATCTGTTTACTTGTACTCTCCTGTATTTCTTTAAGGGAGTTACTTAATTCCTTCTTATAATCCTCTATCATCATCATGAGAAGTGAATTTAATTCTGAATCCTGCTTTTCAGGTGTGATGGGGTGTTCAGGGCTTGCTATATTGGGAGAACTGGGTACTGATGATGCCAAGAAACTTTGGTTTCTGTTGCTTATGTTCTTGCGCTTGCCTTTTGGCATCTGGTTAACTCTAGTGTTGCCTGCCCTCACTGTGTAAGACAGGAGTCTGTATTTCCAGTTATCTTGCTTGTTGCAGAGCTCCTCAGAGTCCAGATGTCTCTGTAGTCTTATGATTCTAATCTTGGTGTCTGCTGCTCTGAGTGCAGTGGCTCCTCTAGGATGACTCAGGAGTCAGTA